CTGGGACAGAATGACAAATGCCTTTCTTAGGTATACACAGTGTGACAGAGCACAACAGTCTTACTAAAAGTCTATTGCTACAGCAAAGATTAATCCTTTTCATCTGGAGAAGAGGTCAGATGAAGACAAGTGAACATGAACTAGATGAATCTTGTTACTTGCTCTATTTACAACATCTGTGTCCAAACTAAGTTAGTATTAGCATGTATTTTCTTTCATCAGTGGCAAATGTCTTTGTCTTGAAAAGGCAGAATAAAAACATCCAGTTCAAACTACTTTATTGCTTAGACTATTTTTTCTTATCAGCCTTCTCTTTCAGGCTTTCAAGTTCTGGTGACTCATCATTTGAGCCACAGTCACAATCACACCCAATCTTAACATCTGTGAAATGTATTCTTTTGAGGAGAACAGGGGAAAAGCATGATGTACCACACCCTAAGATTTCTATCTAGAGACTAGTGAAAAAAATCCCAAAACACTTCACACATAGGTGTAAAAGAAGATAGGTTACAAAATCAAATTCTGGAAGATACAAGCATTTCTAAAGCTGATGAACATTTCTTCACATTGCTCTTTATTGTCAATAACATCAAAGGCTGGGGGCTCTTTCAGCTATTATTTTTATGCTTGCTCTTTCTTCATTGTAAATCTGTCACATATGTCATTGTACATTGCAGCACATCCTATCTCTTATTGTCATGATATTATTTTTGTTTTGGCTTTCTCCAAGCTGCTCTTACTGAACAATGTTTCGTTATGCAGCAAGGAAGAGAACATTGCTTCCTTCTACTATTTTTGTCCATGTTTGTGATGTATGCTCTACCAATTTGTAGATAAAGGGTTGTCATTATACAATAGATTTTACTTTGGGGACACAGTTACGCATTTCATTTAATCTCTCAGAATCTAATTTTTACACAGGCCTTTAATTCACACATTTTGGGGTTTTTTTTCAGGTACATTAAGAGTACATAAATTCTAGGTCTAGAGTTTGGTGTTTTGGGGCTATCTTGTCTGTGCATTGGATATGCTCCTCCTGTGCACCTGTAACTCTTGGACCTTTTATCAAGCAGGCTGGGAAAATCACACACTAAATTTCCTCCCAGTGAAAACTAGGTCACACAAAGGGTGAACAGAGTCTGTTTGATGACAAAGTATATGCCAGTAAGGCAATAAAGTAGCTTGAGAGAGTTAAAAATTCACTGAAGTATAGTACAGGACAAATAAGAGACCTTAGTAAAAGTGAAGGAGAAACCAAACATGCAGGGACCAAAATCTAACACCTGAGAAGTAAGAACAGGAGGACACTATAATCTAAGCTACAAAGAAAATGAAACTTTTGATAAAGCCAAAGAAGTTTGCTTAGTCATTAACAGAGTTTAATACCTGCCTATAGACTATGATTGCCTCTTACTCACAAAACCCCCTTCTTCAAAGGGCAGGCAGAGTGAAGGAAGTGTGAACTCCCTTAAATGGAGATCAGAGAATGCAAAGCCAAGGACTTCAGCTTTAGGTTGGTACATATGTGGGAAATGTCAATCTTCTATTGTTCAAAGTGTATAAAAATGATTACGTGGCGTTTTGGAGGTGTGCTAGCTTTCAGATTCATGACCTAGCACCCATCTCCGCTCAGATATAAAATAAAAAACATATCTCAACTGCATGTGTGAATCAGCTTATTGCACATCAGGTGAAAGAATCCATGCTCAGGACAACATTAGCCCCTAGAAACCAGAAAGTACTTTCAAGAGTCAAATGTTAGATATAGTCTGTAATTGTCCATACCTTATATTAGTGTCCCTGCAAGCTATGTCCAGATGGCTCCTTTACTTCCATCTATTTGGTTTGCATTCCATTCAAAAAGTCTGGTATCAGGATAGGTTGTGTTGTATGGGTAGCATCCTACTGGCACAACCCTGTAGACAGTTCTGGAGAGCTGAGCATCACTTGGAGGTCTGTGCAGTTTTGCATAATGGCAAAACTGTTTTTCTAAAAATGCTGCCCTCCTCTCTCTCAGTGCTGGGGTCCCACCTTCCCAGCATCAGTCATTTCAGACTTCAAACATTCAAACCAAGATTGCTCTCGCTGTCGCCAGACCTACAACACATCTTGGCAGTGACACAAACTTCAACAACCTTTTTTTAAATCCTCCTATTCAATTTTCTGAATAAAGTACAGCTCCTAGTAGGCAAGTGTGACCAAAATATGGGTACAAAGCATATTGCACCCTTTTGTTCTGGCCTGGTTGCTATAGATATTCTAAATACACCAGAATTTTCCCTCTGTTAGCTTTAATTTTTTTATTACTTTATTAAGGAGTAATGCTTCTGAGGCCGCAGTGACCACACTAAACACTTCCTAGTGATGGGCAGTAGACATCAGCAGTTGAAAACAGCAGGAAAATTAAATTTCAAAATGAGCAGTGTCTGCCTATTGTGCCATTTAACCTGGTTAGTGTCATGTTATTCTCCTGGCACTTTCTTTGTTTCTAATTAACTGCAACAAGATACCATGTAAATTTGTTCTTATATTCTTTTATTTACCCCTCCTGTAATTTTCAGTGGAAGGACAGATGTTTATTTTGGAGCTTCATAACTGTGTCTCTTATCATGCAGGGGCATGTCACAGTGCAAAGCTGCAATGAAGAATTAAGGATTATCTTGCTTGGGCACATAACAGCATAATGTTTAAGTTTAGTTTATTTGTGCTCCTACAGCACAAAATAGAAGATTGAAATCAGATTAAAAAAAAAAAAAAGAGGAGGGGGGAGTGGTTATCGAATTTTGCTTATCCTGTGATGGATAAATAAGAAGAGTGTGCAGGAGAGAGAAGGAGGTGTGGATCATAGGCTAAAAAAAAGGAATGGGCACAATGAAGCAGGGAGAATGGCAGGGTGAAGCAGAAGCATATTTCCATATTGAATTTTGAGGGCGTAATTTCCTTACACATAAAACTTGGGACAACAGGCACACTGCTTGTCTGGGATACTCTATATGGTGTAGAGTACTATATGGTGTATGTACTCTATATGATGCAGAGAATCTATGGAGAATCCTGGTTTTATCCCAATATTAATATAGTGACATCTTTTATTGCCACTCTTTCTCTGTTTGTAACACACATAACCCTCTTTCTCCAAATCTCACTAATTTAAAATCTGTGGCCCCAGACTTTTTCCAAAGCTATTGTATGTCCCTCTTCTGGAGTTTGATGATGAATAAAAGCTGTGCCAGCTGCAAAAGCTTCTGGACTTCTGTGTTTGCTTGGTTTGCAGTGTGGTATTGCAAGTGTCCATTTGTCTTTTTCTCATCTCCACTCTGAGAGCAGAGCCAATGCCCTTTTGCTTACAGAAGAGAACATGGGTATACACAGATTTCCAGACACTGATTTTATTAATTTCACTGCATTAACATGAAAACAGGAAGAAATTTAATTCCAACAAGAGAAGGATTTACAGTTAAACACAGCGGTAGAACTATCACTGTTACAGTCAGATTTGTATTGCATTGAACTAATTTATGCTTTAGAATTAAAACGGTGCTTTCACATTGTTTCAGTAAAGAAAGCAGAAAAGAACAAAAAACTACTATTTTTAAGCCAGAATGTTTACTGTGAGGATAGTTTTTGGTCTTTGTGTAGTCTATCTGTGGCTATTAACCTCACAAGGATACAATAGCTGATGGGATAAAAGCTAACAAACAGAAGCAGTGCCCAGGCATTTTAAGGCAAGAGGAAGAAGAGTATTTGCACCACCTAGATTAAGGCATCTGATAGCCAAATTAAGAGGCTGACATTTTCAGGTTCCTTCCACAGTTGGACAGTTAATCTTCCCCTGAGACTAAATCCCATGACTGCTTCTGGCTCAGGCACTTCTTACTCTCTACTGACCACTGAGGGACCTTGAAGAGATTTGCTGTTAATTCAGGCATCTACATCACATGCCTGACCTTAAGTAGCATGGAATTCCCTCTGGTGTCCTTGCCGGAGGTTAGTTAAATCTGCCCCTCTAGATTTCCACGAGCAACTCCTTGCACGCATGAGCTGTGCCCTTCCAAAGAAAAGGGGAAAACACCAGAAGGCCAGCTCACTTGCATAAGGAGTGATCACCTGCACTTCTTTACAGTTTGAAGTAGGAAATTGTCTGCTATGCTCCTTCTTCCTCTTCTTTGCTAACCCCATGTCCCTAGAATTCCTTTCTTTTACAGGGAAACTCTCAATGGTGGAATAAATATATGGCCATTGTACACCAGAGGGCCAGTGGTCCCGAGTCTTCAATCAGCATGCAGTTCTCATTGAGGCACCATTTGGCAAGAGGCACTCTTCTCCTGGGAAGGCAGGAAGGTATGCCTTGTCTGGAATTGGCTGATTTTGCAGTTCCAAGGCCACTGTCTTCCTAGAAGTGTATCCCAAAAGTCAGAGTTGCTTTGTGTGTGAAGAGCAGGTTTTTCCCATGCAGGAGCCTAACCTGACGCACCAGTGTCATGTGTTGCTGTGTCAACTCTTCTTCTGCACATGATTTACCTGTCCAGAACTAGGGAGGCCTGCTCTCAGTACTGTGTTCACATCCTTCAGAGGATCCTGATATTTTGCTCATACAGAAACTTGCATTGCACATACCAAGGTAATTTTCATTCAGGTCTTGCAGATCTTTGCTGAAGGGCCCTTATTGTTTTAGTTTAGTTTTGTTTTATTTTTTTCTTGGAGGGATATGACTTGTCAGAAACAAGCTCACACTTTTTAGGACTGCATCATTGTCTTGTTGTACAGTCAGTAAACTTAATGTGTGCAGTTGCTTGAAGAATTGCACCCACAAAAATTGCAATGTTGCTGATTAAAACCACTCTTTGGAAAAAGTCAGCAACTGAGTGGTGATATGGCAGACATAAAATTAAAAAGCAAAAACCAAAATGCTATAACTTAGTTATAGATGTTAAAGGATTATGTTTAAAAATGACTGCACTATTAGCAAAACAGAAAAATTCTTGAGTTAAATAGTCCCAGTAAGATCTTGTGATCTTATTACCCCTTAGATTTTCAATATTGTATTCCCTTCTCAATAAACCTCAGTGGATAGATTTTTGTAAAAAAGCATGATCATATTTGTCTGGACCCTATTTAAGTCCTATTTGATGTGACCCAGGATGCCTTAAGGATGTGCCACTCCTTAAGGCAAAGCAGTGATGCAAAATTTGCTAACTAATGTTCTGATGTATTTTTACAGTCCAGTAGAGATGTCATGCTCCGCAGTGGATTGTGTGAATGTGGAACTGACTCTTTCCAACTTTTCACGATACAGACTTGGACATTTTTTGCAAAGGTGAGGTGCGACTTGCTTTCGGAAAAAGATATAAAGATATGCCCTAAATTTTTCTCCAACAAATACATAGATCACGGGATTAATGCAACAGTGGATCATTGAGATTGTTTCTGTAACTTGAATTGCTTTCTCCAGCTGACTTTTAAGTTCACAGTTTGGGATGAAAAGTGGATTTTGAAATGTATGCAAAAAAGAAGAAATATGGAATGGTGTCCAGAAGATGAAGTAAAAAATCATGATTACAAAAATAAGTCTGACTGCCTTCTGTTTTTTCTCATTCTTGGATCTCCATAGTGTTTTTAGAATTTGTGAGTAACTGAAAATCATAATTAGCATTGGAACAATAAGTCCCAGAATGTTCATCTTTAGAATAATAGAGTACTTCCAATTTATTATGGAATCACTTGGATAATGAGCACTGCATGTATAGCCTGAACTTTCCTTCTGAGTTTTCTGAAATACTATCCCAGGGACAGAAGCCAAAACAGAAACAGCCCAGGTGATGACGCTGGTGAGGATGCCGTAGGTAACTGTCCTGGCTTTCAAAGCAAACACTGCATGCACTATGGCCAGGTACCTGTCCAGGGTCAGCAGGATTATGAAGAAGATGCCACTGTAGAAGCCAAGGAGGTAGACACCTGACAGAATTCGACAGAGCGCCTCCCCAAAAATCCAGGTGTGAGCTGCATAATAAGCCCAAAAGGGGAGAGAAAATACGAACAGCAGATCAGAAATTGCCAAGTTGAGCAGGTAGATGTCAGTCATACTCTTCAGTCTCTTGTATTTGACCAGGATAAGGACAACAAGCAGATTGCCTGTCAGACCAAATATCACCACTAAAGAATAAAGAGGTGGCAAAAATTTTGCTGCAAAGTGCTTTTCCTCAGTTCCCATGCATGGTGCCGAATCGCCGTAGTCAAATTCTGTTGTTAGTGGCCAGTCGGTGTAGTCTGTGGTTTCATTTCCCATGGTGTATTGGTCTGAAAAGGAATAAAAGATCATTAAACTAGAAGAATCTCCAAGTTTAGCAGTGAAGAGAATGAGACATGCTGATGTTCTCATTTGAAATGAGTTTTGTTGATGAGCACACAAGCATTACGATGTCAAGGTGTGAAAGAGAATGAAATTGCAGAGCTCCCAGGAAACCCATCTATACATCTGGAGAGTCACACTGGTGCATGTTGGAAGTGTGTCATTTCCCACGTGTGCATTGTCATGTGCATTTTTCCTCCTCAGTAGAGCCTGTCAGTTGCCTGACCCAGAGGGGACCCAGAGGGAGAGGATGAATGAATTTAATGAGCTGTGGGTAGTTTGGGGCTCTTGTGCTCATCAGTGGCTTTCCAGAGGAGTGTAGAAAGCCAGGAAGGCAAGGAGAGCACTGTGCCTGGAATGCAGAGCATAGTCTTGCTTCTCATTGGGATCTGGCCACCTCTTCATCATGCTGCTCCATCCTCTAGCCCTTACCCATGGAGGACCAGGCATTGGTCAGGTGTAAATGGTGCCTGCAAAGGTACTGTGAAATGGGTGAAAAACAGCTGACTTCAAGCACTTCCTCAGGTTGCTTCAAGTGACATTTTGGGAGCCTTAATGCCTATAGGAATTAGGACAGTATTAAACACACCTACCAGTGCTATTGTGGGTGTTGAAGAGTGGAAAGTCAGCAGTGCTGATCTGGGTTAAAATGGCAAACACTGGCTCTTTTACAGAGCCTAGGGCAGGTGTAGGCAGTGGAAGTGTGCTGGTTTCAGATACCTCTGGACTGAAATTGCTGCATGGTCCTGTAGAGAGAACAGACAGACAAAGACCTTAGCAAACAACGCAAAAGAGTTGCTGTTCGAGTGGCCTCTAATACCTCTTTCTGTTGTAGCATCTTCCTGTTAGCTGAAAGGCCTCTCCACTGCTGTTTGGGGATGTAAGGAGTTTTGATTCCTTGTTTCAGTAGTTGTTTACAGCCTTATTCAGGAGCTGCAAAGTTCAGATTCATAGAGTGTCTTGGAGGGGGCACAAAGGCAAAAGGCAGCGATATGGCCCTAGCTAAGAGTGTGCACTACAGCTCTTCATGTGATGTTGTTCTTCACCCTTTGTCAGTCAGTGTTTCCAGTAAGGCAAGAATGAGGAAGTGCAAGAGTTGTGCAAACCCTCTGTCCCTTCTGTTTTGGTTTAGGGATGGTTGGAGGGACTGGACTTGCCCTGCAAGAACAGGTCTGGGTGTCAGCCCCTCCAGTCACCAAAGCCTCTCCTTTTCCCAAGTCCCTGGTAGGACTGTGAGCCAGATGCAGAAGCATAGATTTGTTTCACTTGATCTCTGAAAAGCTCAGGACTACTGTCTTCTCACAGACCCCCAGAGAACACAGAAGAATTCCTGTGTGTCCCATGAGAAGCTGGGCAGAGGATTTTGTGAAGTGTCAGAGGGACCAAAAGCGCTCCCTGGTCACTTAGTGAGGAAATGCAATCAATGCCTTTGGTAGCCACTCAGAGGGAGCTACTTGCTCTCTGTTTAAAGGGCTGCTCTGTCTTCCTGTGCCCTCATGACTGCTTTTATCAGACACTTCATGACAAACAGGTGGCTGCCCATGGCATGGTGTTAGTTTTGAAATCAGCCTGGAAATGTCATGTCTGTTCTTAGACAAAGGCAACAGAGCACTCCCAATGTAGAAGAGTTCAGGCAGTGCATCTGGCCCAGGTTGCTGTGTGATCCCTGAACGCTCATGTCATGCACCAGTGTTCTTTCCTTTCCTGAATGCACTTTTTTTCAATGGTGTGCTCTGCCCAATGTGATTGCAAGCATGTTTTGCAGAGACCACAGTCTCAAAACCACCACTATTTCATTCTGTCTGCACTTGAGTTCTGCAAGTCTAAATGTCACTGAAGAAACTCAGCCTGTGGCTGGAGGGACTGAGAGACAGGCCCCTGCTCTGCTTTTTGGTAGATAGTCAATTTAACTACATCTTGGGCCACTCTGAGCTGCAGCAGGTGAAATTTTTGAGGTGTCTTAAGCTTGTGTCAGCTTATTCAGCTGTTTGAGAGAAGGCTGTTTTCCTGATATGTAATTACAGAGCATTAAGGATCCGGAGGATATAGTTTTGATTTGGATTTTTATCTTGGTGGATATATGTAAAATACAAATAACCTTCTTGAACAAATTTTGTTGGTTACATGGTAGTAAAACAATTTTTCGTGTGTATATATGCACAAGTAAATATACATATACATACACCTATATATAGAATCATAATACTGTAGAATTGTAGAATCATTTAGATCAGAAAATACCTCTAAGATCATCGAGTCCAGCCATTAACTTAACACTATTAAGTCCACCACTAAATCATGCCCCTAAGCATCACATCTACATAGCTTTTAAATATCTCCAGGGATGGTGATCCAGCCACTTCCCTAGCCCTGTTCCAGAGCTTGATATCCCTTTCAGTGAAGAATTTTTTCCTAATATTTGATCTAAACCTGCCTTGGTGCACTTAGCCTTGTAGAATCTTTGTATCCCATAAGAGGTAAAACAAGGATGAATTCTTGCCATGTTCAACAAGCAGGCAGATGCAGTCCTTGAGCAATGCCTACTCTGGAAAAACTTCCTTCTGCCCCTAGTTTATTCCTGAGTGTGATGTTATATGGCACAGAATATCCTTTTGGTCACTTTGGGTCATCTGTCTCAACTATGCTCACAAACCTAAAAGACATCACTATAAGACATGCTGGGAAGAAAAGTAAATCCATGCCAGTCGGACCAAGCTCACCTTCCCACCACCACAATTTAGCTCTTGCCCTATACAACTGAACTGACCCTGGCCAGAAAGACAGCATGGAACTGCTGTTGTTGTTTTGTTTACTGGCTCTGACCTGGTAGGAAATCTCACAGTATTTGTATGGTCCTCCTTTTCAAAACAAGCAAAAAACATTACAAATATTTTCTGAGATGTTTTTTTAAAAAATGCTTATCTTTTGCACACAGGCAGTGTTAATCACAAAGAACTCTAGAAAACTGACTTAGATAAAAAACTCTATTACTGGTTGCACTTGATTTTAATTTTTTCATTTATCTCTAGCCATATTTCCCATTTTCATTTTTGTGCAGAAAGAAGCATCTTCTGCAGAAGTTGTAGCCCTAGACGTGATGTCTGGTTTTGGCTCTTAGATTGTCTAGATGTGAACCTTCAGAACTAAGTGTGTTACAACAAAGAGATCTCCAGGTTTATCTCTGCTTTTGTGCTGTTCAAACATAATTGGAGCAATTCTGATTTGAGAACTTGTATTTAATTATTTTATTTCCTTTTTTTTCTGTCCAAAACTACACATGAATATTCAGAAAGTCTTAATTATTTTCTCTACTGCATGTGGCCATCAGTGCCCCCTGTCCTGACCATAGTCCCACTATTTCTGCATACACAGGGTAGTTTTGTTTGCTAACAGAAATTCTGAATGATTTTTGCAAAAGTAGGCAATATGCCAAGGTTAAGGTAGACATATAAGAGGAGAACTTACTAATTTATCATGTGTTTAACCATGTAAGAGTATCTAAATACATGAACAGTCCAATAAAACGCTACTGTTGTTTCTCCTTGGAGGACTGGTTGTGTTCCGAGTTGCCAAAAAAAGGTACAGGGAGGTTTGGCCAAGAAATGGGCCAAATACCAGGACCCTGGAAAAAAATTCATGCAAAGAACATTGAGTTACATCTTAGATGGGATAAAATTTGGTTTGCTGAATACTTGTAAATTAGTGAGCCCAAATAAACGTAGTTTCGTTTCTCTGAGTTTTAACAAAGCTGCACTTATGGCAACATCAGAGATTCTTGTAATGAAGATGCAGCCCTGAAGTCTTTCCAGATTTCTGTATTTTGGCTGCTTTGGGAGAAGCCTCATTAGCTCTTGAGCATTAGCTGCTATCTACAGTGTCACTTTAGCTAGAAGATGTCTAGGTGCTGGTAGGACTATCAGACATGATATTGTCATGTCATTCAAGCAAAGCAGCTCCTGAGTTGCTACAGTGACTTATTTAGGGATGACATTTGTCACAGCCCAATGAGTCTGCTGTGGTCTAGAGGTGATTTGGACAAAACTTCCCCTCAGAAACCAGAACTCGTAGTAACTACAAGTTACAAGAGCATCTGTGCATGAATGGAGCTCCTTATCTCAAAACCGAATGACCTTCCCAAAGTTCCCTTCACCTTTTTTCAATTTAAGAAAAGATTTCTCTTTAGAAATGTATGAGCAGGTAACACAGTGCTACTGCCCTCACTCTCACTCTCCTTCTTTCACAAATGCCAGCATTTGGCACACAGAAAAAGAAATTGCTTAATGACTTGTAATCAGCTTAAAAGTATGTGTCAGCAGCATCTAGGGCACTTTTTGAAGAGAGAGAAGTGCAACATAGCACTGAGTAATACTGAAACTTAAATAACAAAAAATAATACCACATATTGTGGTAGCAGGCCCTGCAAGAGAGGTACCCAGTGTTTCCTGCTCTACCTCTTTAACTTTGCCTTTGATTTTCTAGGAGGAGCAAAAGTGCAGAGAAATCTATGCACAAACACGTGCACTTGCTTGGAGAGCAAGCATAAAAGTAAGAACTTTTCCTGAGTTACCAGGAAAGATGAAGGAAAAGATGGAAGTGTAAACTAAATACTCTGTGTAAGACTCTAAACTGATAGTTTCGCTCAAAAACAACTTTTCATGTGGTAGTGACCACAGCATTTCTTTCTAGGATTTGACTGGGCAAAGAGCCCCTTCCAAAATTAAACCTTGCCTGGGAAACCTCTTCCTCTTTTCTAACAGCTGAGCATTAGAAACATTCAGAATTACTTGCCTCCTAACTGATGAGTTTTTTCCAACCCTGCAAAACTTTGACAGTAAAATATATTCTGGGCTGAAAAGAGCAGGCTTAATTCTCTGTGAGCCCTCAAGATCTGATTGTTTATGTTCCCCATCAAAACCAGAAAGACAGCCTGGCAAAAAATCTGAGCTTTTCTGCAGTTAAATAGAGTCAGTCTACAGGCCTCAAGACAAAAGAAGGAGGATGTGTTCTTACCTAAACAAATGTACAGTAAAGGAATATCATAAGCACTGAAAATTAGCATTCTGAGAAAGAGAAATTTGAGACATGGATTAAGTATCTTCCTCCAAATCATGAGTATATATGTATACATAGGCTCTTCTCTTATGTAAGCCAACTTCTGGGCTTGTATGTCTGTTAGGGGTTTTTATGCTGAGATGTGGTTTGGGGTTTTTTTCAGTATCTGATAAAACATTGAATTTGGAGCAGTTCAGGCAGCAGTTGTAGTCACAGCCATTCTGAGGATGAACTCAAGTATAAAATGGAAGGCTAATAACTTGGAGTGGAGGTTGCCAGCATATGCCATAGGATCATGTGATGTCCTGTTATTGCTCCAAGGGTCTCTACACTGAGACATTCAAGCCACCTGCTCTGTTGCTGTCAGCTGTTCCAGGCAAATGACAATGCAATTCTCCCAAGAACGTAAAAAAAATGAAAAAGAATTTGTAGGCTGTTGTCGTTTTTTTGCTAATATGCAAGTGGCAAATCTCATTTATCCAAGCAGAGGAGCTCACCTTTTCTTGTGTGTGAGTAGAAAAATTCCGGGGCAGTACTGATGATTTTTATTAATGTAAAACCTCATTAACAAAAATTGCCATCTGGGTATAAAACTGATACCTTGTTGAGATGTAGCTGAGGTATGGAGTAAAGACTTTCTAATGTGGTGACTCAGAGACA